TTTTTAATTTATAATTTTAAAGAGAAATTATTAATTTTTTTCTTAAAAATCTTGCAGATAGCCATATAAATTTTTAAATTAATTAAATCATTAATTATATTTAAAAACTATATTTTTATAAAATATAATCGCTATAAATCATTTAAAGAAGAAATATATTCCTTATTTTTAAATAAATATAACTTTATTACTTAAAAAAAATAACAATATTTAAACACATTATAAGAATAAAAATGAAATTTTTAAATGAAAATTTCTTGAATTTTCATTAAAAGTTAAAGCATTTTTCTCCTTTTCACTTTAACAATAAACAAAAAAATCTAATAAAACTGAAAAATAATCATTAAATAAAACAATTGAAAAACTTTTGCAAAAGTGCAAAAAGATCTTAAATATATAAAATAAGTTGTTATAAAGTCTTTATTTAATATATAAAATGAATAAAAATGATAAAAATTGAATAAAAATTGATCAATTTTTGACACATGTTTAAAAACCAACTTACCAAAGAACAATCAGAGGATGTATAAAGTTATTTTTTTTATGTTTTCTGGTAGGGAACAAAGAGGATCTTCAACACTATGCAGCTAGCAACTGGTCGGTGGGTACTTTATCGTCGCATTAAATATTAGTCTGTCCCAAGCTGTAGTGTTGTTCCACGCCGCCAAGCGGTCGTTTATCGTACTGACTGCTCTTCCACCCACACACCATACGTCGAATGGCGTAGCAGCCAAAGCCAATAGCAGCTCTACCAACTTCATTCAATAACACCGTCGAGTGAAGCCACCCCGTCTTCATTGATGCGCTTTTTCTCTCTCCTATAAAATTACTAAGAAAAATCTTCTATAAAATTAAAAAAAATTGTTACTAAAATGAAATGAAAGAAAAAAATTATAAAGTGTAAGAATTTAACTCAAATTGCACAGTAATAATGATATTAAAAAAGTGTCTTTCTTCAAATCGAAAAAAAAACTGTGTGATTAGGGTTTCTCAAACGGGATTCCGGGATCCCGGTTGTTTTTTTAACCCGGGAAATATTCCGGGAAATTTTTCTTATCTCGGGAAATTCCGCAAATTTCTTAAAAATTCACTTTTTTTCTTATTTTGTGTTAAGGTTGAGGANTTATTAAAGAAAATGATGTTTAATTTTCTTCTAATACAGCGCGTAAAAAATATATGTAATAATTTTTTTAATATTTACATAAATTGATATATAAATGTTATATTTTTAACGTTTTTAACATTTTTTAAAGGTGTAACATTATCCTATTAAGCAATGTTTAAAAGTTTTCATCTTCTTGTGAGTAATTTGTTTACCTGATCTCATTACAGATTTATCCATTAGTTTATTAAGAGTAGAAAAATTATACTTTTATATGTTCATAGTTTTAAAAGCATTGAAATTATTTTTTTTCCATTAATATATATATAATAAAAAAATTTATCGATCTAAAACTTTACATAACTTTGATATGTAATTTTCCTTTCATAATAGCTTATAATGCTTAAAAATACATTTTTAAAGTTAATTAATTATAAATATTACTTAACAATCCCTTAAAAATTAATTAAAAAAAACTTTAATATTTATAAAATTTCAAATCGAATTTTTAAAGAAACTTGAATTATTATTCTTAGTTCCGATTTTGGAATTCATATTGCTTATAATTTAAAAAATATATAAATAGGATCAAATTTATTCATTAGTTAAACAAGATACGATCTAATGCTTCACTCTAACTTTACTTCATTCTCAAAAAAAAAAAAAAATAATAATAATACATAATATACATTATTAAAAGGACCTTTCTTAACGATCCTTTATGTTGAAGGAGGAATATAAAGAAGCTCTTCCTCTATCAAATATAATGAAAGAGGAAGGATTTCTTATATGAAGGACGTGCGAAGGGTCCTTCTTCCTTAATCACACTTGACGAAGGAATCAAAGGCTTTTGTACATTCCGCCTTCATTAAAAATGAGAGATATGAATATACAAAATGCCCTTCTTTCATTAAATATGATCAAGGAGAAAGTACTTCTTGCATTTTATAATTTAGGATCACAACGTATCAAAATCCGCTTCTATATATGAACACTGATCTATAATTTGATCTTTAGTATTTGGTTTATTAATTTTATTCCATATAAAGGCCATATTCATAAACTAAACGTATATTTCTTTTATATGTAATGAAATCCCATATATTTTGATGCTAGATGATCTCATTATTTCATGAAATCAGAGAGCAATTTATCGTTCCGACAATAGCTTTGCAATTGCATTATGAGACTTTTATCAATGCGATAAATGTCTTTTGTCAAAACAGAATGTCTTTGCTTTTTGTCAAAACAAAGAATTCACAAAAAAATTATCCTAAAAAAAGTCAATCAGAGTTTTTTCTAAAAATTCTTTTATGTCATTTTACTCGTTAACGTTTGTAACACAATTACTATTGCTAACAAATAAATATAACACAAAAGTATAAACAATTCTCTGAAATAAAAAAAAATTTACACGAATAGAAAATTACGATTGAACCAAAATAGATTCGAATTCACAATATAAAATATTCCATAGATTCTAATAATTAACTTACAAAGATATTCACTACAAGACTCAGACAAGTTATGATTAAGAAAAAAAATGTATTATATATTAATTTATTAAGCAGATTAAAATGTACTGTATATAACTTCTTGGAAAGATGTGGATTCGAACCTGATTAAGTAAAAAGAAAACCGTGTTTTCTATCCGAACCCACTATCTTCCCAAATCTTCCCTGTACAGTATTTAATTAATAGACGAAAATACTATATTTATTCTTCTACCACGATTCTTCATTAAGAAAAAAAAATATTCTGATCAAATCATGTACCAGCATAATTTATTATGTACTTTAAACATTGTATTTCATAGAAAGATGTGAGTTAAGATCTTAATAAACCAAATTTTCCTGTCTGAATCTTCAATTCGATCACTAGAATACGGTTTATTAACGCACTAATTATTGACTCATTACATAAATTTATTAGTTATTAACATTTTATTTTAATAAATTCACAGTATATTTTTTATTAGAAAGCAATTAACGAGAAACAATTACTTCTATATAATCAATATCGGCAAAGTTAATCCACATAAGTTGTTATCAACATGAGTAAAACAGATTTTTCTGATTTTTTCATGTAATTTATAAGAGATAGGAATAAAGGATATAGTAGAAATTCTCTTATTAAATGTCAGAAAAGTTTTAATTCTCGTATTACAAGTTTAGCAAAAACTGATAGAATGAATTAAGGATTAGACATATCTCCTGTTGCAAGTCTATCCAAAAACTCTTACATCGAATCAATATAATCGGTAAGAAAACACACTTTCCTGTTACTTTATAACATACTTTTTATTATTTTTTAAATATAATTTCATTAATAATATATTCCGATCTACATTGAGACATATAAACTTCTTATATATTAGCAATTTAAGCTTATAAAATCTGCAAAAAATGTATAAAAATTTAATTAAAAAAATTCAAAATATTATCTTCTTATAGCCTACTTTTCAAGTTTCACTTTTATATTTTAAAACTATTAATTAAAATTTTAACATTAATTTTTTGTAAAAGAAATAACAATTAAATCCTTTTCAGATTTTTATAATTAATTGAATTAAAGGCTTTTAAATGGCGTCGAAATTAATTTAATGGTAAATTTTGGTAACAATAATTTATGCCATAACTAATTTACAAAATTATTCGAAAACTATTGTTAGCTTAAATAATTATATGACAATTAATTTCCCGTTAATTTCGATTAAGATCATTTTATGGTATTATTAAATGAATAATATCCTTGAAATATTTAATTTTTAATAAAAATTTATTTATAATAATTCCATTAATTTTATCACAAGTTTAATTAAGGGGAAGTTTAGAAAATTTATTTTTCTTCTCATAAAATTAATAATAATATATTTATTCATATTCTAACATTACAAAAATTAAAGTTTTTATAAGTAATATTTCTAAAACACTTTTTATTAGTATTATTTGTTTATATATTTATATACTATGAAATAAGATTTAAAATTGACAAATTTAATTTTATTTGAGTATAAAATTAATTATATTTTTGACAAACATTATATATAAATTTTTAATCTGTATTATTAATTTTTTAAATATATATTTATAGTATTAATTTGTATAAAATTACATTTAAATAGACGAAATTTAATTATCTTTATGTGTAGAATTAATTTGTTTATCACACTTTGGGCAAACATACGGACGAACGTCGAAATCGACTTCTAAGTTAAATAGGGAATACAAAAGATTATTTTCCTATTGCCTTAGGTGTTAAAGTAATAAAACTTTTTATATAACTCAACATGTAAGTCCTGTATGTCTTTATATATTTTTCTCTATATCTTTAAACGCTTTATAAGTGATTAAAATTTTTTTTTAAAAGCCTCAAGAAAAACATTACCTCCTCTTTTATACGTCTTCTTCTTTCTTAACAGTTTTCTTTTTTTTTTATTAAATCTATTTACTAAAGTGTTTCTAAGTAAAGTTATGAAAATTCTAACGTTAAGCTATAAAAAATATATTTCGTCAATTTTGCTAAAATTCGTTATTAATCTAGTAAACATAATAATTAAATTTTTGTGTTAAAATGTAAAGAATTTACAATTAAATTGTATTTTTTTTTTAAGTTTGTAAATAATTTTAAAAATGAAGAATTTTTCAAATTTTTAAAAGAAAATTTCTAGTTTAAACTCATCCCTGAATATAATTATTGTTAAATATATTCATATAAGTGTTATTAATTGAGTTTGATATATTAGCTATACATTAACATGTGTATTAATGAATGAATAATAATCTGTAATGATTTTANATTTATTTACAGTATAAAATACAAGTTTTTAAATGTCTGCATACAAAATGTAGCATAACAGATGATATTTTACAAAGTTGTTAAACCATGACATTTGTTATAAAATTATAAAAAGCTATACAGTTCGTAACAGTGTAATGTATAAGTTTATATACAATTTTACACTTTACAGTTAGTAATTTAATATATTAAACTGTTATAAACTGTATAACTGTTCATAACAGTATGATACAGTTAGAGTTGTTATAAATTACGATGTAAATATTTTATAATACTGTAAACAGATATACTTAGTTTGTATAATAAGATATTGTACTATATAAAAATATTTAGTATTACATACACTATAATTTAATATATGATATATAATGTTTTGCAGCATACTCTATAATTATACTGTAAATGTAAGTCATTAAGTTTGCAGTATAAGCTTCTTACTATAGAGTATAATTACCGTTAGGGACTCGTTTTAAACTATGTATTTTATAAATTGATAATTTTACATTCAAAAGTGGCTTTAAACTGTATAATTTTTCTGTGTTTACTGTTACATTGTTGAACCTTTAATAACGACCACCTGTAAACGGCGGCCATTTTTCAGGAACCTCTAAACAACGGCCACTTTTTAAGTTCCCGTCAGTTCGTCCAGAAGTTTGTCTGTTAAATTAATGTGTTAAATAAATAAAATTTCTTTATTTTTAACAACATAAAAATTTAAATATTTACGAAATTAATTATTAGTTAATTTATTATTAACTAAAATGTTTCACTATACACGTATAAATGATTTTATATAAGTATTTAAACTGTTATATTAAATAATATTC